TGCAGCCGGGAACCATAGGGGCGGGGCACTGCCCAGGCAGGCTGGACGGCTCTGTGCCATGCTATGCTGTGTTTCCTGACTGCAATGTTACAACGCACAACACAGCAGAAGCCAGCCTGGTCCCATGGTTCCTGGCTGGTTCTTGCTGCCGCCTCTATCCGAGGGCCACGTGTTGGAAGAATCGCTGCACTGGAGCCACTGCCTTCTCGTCCTTGCCACGCAGGTCTGCTGACTGGAAGTGGAGGGAGCCTGCCCCCTGGTTCCCCACAGGGTCCAACAGGGCTGCCACATGTGAGGGCAGAAGCTGCAGGCGCATGCAGAGCCGCTGGGATAGAGGTGGCCAGGTAGGCTGCACCTCTTGCCCTCAGCGCATTGGCCAGAGAGATGCCCCACCAGGCACCAGTGCCTGCACTGGCCAGGAGCTCCCTGAGTCCCCCTGACCCATTTGCTGCATAAACCTCACACTCCACAATCCCCCCACATATACACACACCCCGCCATACCCTATGCCCCCACACAGCCACACCTCCACCATATACCCCCCCCAAGCCCCGCACACAATATAAAAGAATGAGACTATTTTGAGTTATTATGCAGTCCCTTCTATATACAGCACACAAACACAAATCATGATAAATATTTTTTGTAATAAATAAATTAAAAAATTAAAAAATGTTCTAGCAGGTGTTTGACTTTTACTGTATGATTTTTTTTCTAGTTCTAACATAGTAATCCCCACTCCCAAAAGGAGTACTTATGAGAGGCAAGAGGAGGGACTTCTTGTGGCAGAGGTGACAAGTTAAGCAGCTCTGCACCCAAAATAATTGCCCTTCCCTGTTGTAGGCACATCAGCACTCCTTAGCGATATTCTGTAAAGACAACCTATATACCCATATTATACATAGATTGTTTTATCCTTCACCCATTTCCATCAAATCAATTAGCACAATATCAAAATAAAACTGAACTTAAGGCCAGTTACTGCTTTCATGACTAAATTACCCAGTTAATTTATTCAAAGTTACCAAAGGCTGTCACAGCTCTGGATTTCGTTCTTAACTATGAATTTTGGAATGTTAGCCACATGAAAAACATTACACAATATAAATATGTATGCTCATATTAATACAAATTAATATAATGTCTAATACTTTCTACTAGATTGCACAAAATTGGTAATTACCCTTGTAAAATGTTTTAATTAAAATGATGAGACAGCTAGCTAGCTACATAAAAATAGTATCACAAAAAATGTCAAAAGTTATTTTCAGGTATTTTAGTAAAACTAAGGTAACATTATCAAACCAACATTCTTTCACTAAATAAGATAAAACAAGCTACGCCTTCTACTCAAACCAAGTTACTTTAGCATTATATAGTACCTGCATTTCAATGTATCTTGAATCAGATTTCTTCTTTCTTAATTCTTCTCTAAATTGCTCATCTAAATCAATATCTGGCTCATTTTTTTGAAAAAGAAATTCTGCATCCCGATCTAGGAACGTTCTCTCCAAGTTTGGTCTATGTTTTATAGGAACCTTTTCCAAGGTTGGTTTCTCTTTTACTTGCTCCACTTGATCAGGTCTGGAACAAAGATTAGATTGTATTTTAACTTCCATATTAAAATGTTAACACAAAATAATTAAGGATACACTTGGCCACTGAAACAAGTACAAAAACTTTTTTTTAAATACCTTGAATCTGTCTAATTTTTAAGCCATACAAATGAGTTTGCTTTTCTGAGCAGAGACCATGAGCACTAATATTCTTGAACATATGAATTCAAGAGCACCTTGAAGAAAATCTGTCTCTTTAGGTTTCTCAGGTATGCATGGGGAACTGCTTTAAGTTTTATTAAGTTCAAAGTAATTTTGCAACCGCCAGTGAAAACTACTTGCACATGCCCCACACACACACACACACACACACACAGACACAAACTTCATGCACAAACTTTTTTTGAACAAACCTTTCCCCTACAATAGCAAAAAACCCAAATAATGCCCTGCAAGATGTCTGCAAGTGAAACGGACTACACAAGAGCAAAGCTTTTCTTGATTTCATTGTTCAGTCTCAAAGAGAAGCAAAAAAGCATAGTGACAAGTAAATTAGATTTTTAAATTTTCTTTCTTAATCATCCTCAATGTCAATCTGAAATGTAGTCACTTTAAGGAGTTATTTAAAATGCATTTCAGCCACTATACCTGCCAGGCCTTTGCCAATTTTCATTTTTTAGAAATAAATTTCCTACTTTTAAAACCCATTGCTGGAATGAAAGTGCTGTCAAATGCATGAAGCAAAAAAGAAACACTCTTCTAATCCTTCAGCTATAGTTATTGTAAGTATAATTAACAACAACAGCAAATAATATTTCAGACAGATGCAAGAGCAAACTGAAGACAAGGCAACACCACATGCTTCTGCTATAGGCAAGCATTTTTATCACCACATCAGTTAAACAGAGTAGGGCAATGGAAGGGAAAACTTTCCGGTAGGCATGATGCCACAGGTTAGCTGTGCACCCTCCCTGAACACCACTCTGATCGCTTTCACCTGCCCAATCTGCTGCTCTACTTTCTGCTCCTTAGCTTGGTCAGGGACCACAGGTTATCGGCTTCCTATCTTTCTGCCACCGTGCTGCCTATGCCCTCTCCAATCTGCCACATGCTACACACAGACTGCCTGTGCCAAAGTTTGACCACCCAGAAGAAGGGATAAAAGAACCAGTTGCAAATACCACACAGTCTTCTCTCTAACGCAGCTTCTCCAGTTGCAGCCATTAGTAGTGGATTAGTAGAGGATTACAGAATTACAAATAGTGTAAGGCAAAGTGTCCCTAGAATTAATAGGAGGCCCAGTATCCTGGCCCTTCTCAGCCACAGGAAACAAAAAGACGTCAGTCCAAGGTAAGCTAAGGAAATGTATTCTTCCTCATAGCCTACAGTTGATCAGCTTAGTACTCTGAAATGGGTAAATATTTTAAACTCACATTTCCTGTAAAACAATGTGACAAACCCATATTAATTGCCTTGGTATATTATAACAGAGAGAAATTTTTTACAACATTTTTAAGCTAAGCCACACATGCAATGACATTAGATGTTCTACTGAAGTCTTTCTAGCAACTCCCAGAATGACACCGTTTGAACCAAGATCAATATAATGCACAAATAATTGTTCCGTTTACCCTTCTTCCTCGCCTGACCACCAGGACATGGCTTCTTGTTCTTTTTCGTTTCTAGTCTGGACAGTATTCAGCAGCTGCACGATCTGTTCTTCACGATGTTCATCCATTTGCACCACAGCTCTCTAAAGCAAAAGAAAAGTAGCCTTTACACCAAACTTCACACTTCAGATTCGAAAACACTCTTGGTTTACATGCAAAAGCATCATTTTCCTGAAGCTGTTATAATTGGTAAGCTACCTAAAAAGTTGTTTATCCAGTAATTCAGAAAACAAGGGCAATGTATTTTTTCTTGCTATATCACAGAACACATTGTAACCATCATATTCATTTGTATACAAGCTTATGGTCGAACGTGTGCACAAGTTGCTATTTCTAAGGAAATTCTTCAGTGCAAATTTTTCTTTGCATTACAGGTGTAATGGAAACTGAAGTTTAAAAAGCTGAGATTTATATAATGCCCTCACCTTCAGTATGCCAGCCCTTCATTACTCACTTGTTAAATGCCTTAAAGTCCTAAAAAAAAAAATCCAGTTACAGTGAATGCCATTAATGGATTTCAAATCCGCGTTCCACAGCTACAGGTACTCTTCACTTAACGTCGCCCCACTTAACATTGTTTCATTACAACGTCACTGATCTATTGGAGAACATACTCGTTTAAAGTCACACAATGTTTGGTTATAATGGCATTTGGCTGCTGCCTGCTAGTAGGTAACTACTGCGATGTAACTGGATTCGCTTAAAGTCGTATTTTTCAAGAACATAACTACAACAGTTACTCCTCACTTAATATTTTAATAGACAAGTCTTTCAGTCATCCAAATCTTCCAAAAGTTAGGTCATTAATTACAAAGCAAAAAACACTACAACCTTTTCACAGTTTTTAAAAGAACATAGTCTGCTGGATCAAAAAGAAATGAACTAAACAGGTCCATATGTTGACATTGTTGTACATCTCCTGTCCGTGAACATTACTTGAGAGCACTTTCCTCACATTCTTTTTGCCTCTCCCCCTCCTTTCCCAAACTGTTCTTTCCGGAGCTACGCATGTGGATGTGCACTGATATTACACAGGAGTGCACAAACAGGCAACAGCACACAAACTGCCTCTTCCCAGCAGGAAAAAAAATAAGACACATAAAACAAGACACACACATTGAGAAGAATTGCTTGTTTCACCTCATTACAGCGGCACGTTATTGCCAGGGGGAAATACAGTGTAAAAGCAAAGACTTCACCCTCCTCTGCTGCAGGGAAATTTTTAAAAAGGAAAGATAATGTTTTGTATCTGAAAACAGGTGCTGAGCTGCCGAGAGTGGTATCCTTGTATATGACAACGGCACAAATGTGATATCACAAATGTTATCTTTTGTATGACAGCAAAATCAGCACAAACGTTAAAAAAACAGAAAAAAAATCTCCTATTTGCTCCATCAAAGCCTTTAGCTTGAGATAGAGGAGGCTCCTCTTTGTATTCACCAGTTTTTTTTGTTTAACCGTATGAGGAAGAATAAATAACAGGTGAACTAGGCCCTATTCAAATCTCCTTTCAAATGTTCAGAGGGGCACAGCAAGTGTCTTTTAGAGCTGTCCTCCCCATAGTTTATCTTCAGTTGCAGCTTAAAAACTAACATGTTTTCTTGCCTCTATGCAAACTTCTCTTCCAACTGGCTTCTCTAAGGGGGGAACGTGCCAGCCTGACCCAGAAGTGGGGGTTGGGTTGGGGGGAAGGGGGGGGGGGAATTGATTGCTGATGATTGATTTACAAGTGCTGGCACTGACATCCGGCTGCTTGCAAGCTGTCACCTGCTCTTAGGGGCTCACAGGCAAGCAGATGTCAAGGGCACTACGGGAGCCCCGGGGCCGAGGAGTGCGGTTGGGGGGCGCAGACCCCGCCCCCCTCCGCCGATTCTTTACCTGCTG